ATACCACGATATACTCTTTGCATTGGCAGCATTACTCCAATTTTTTGTCCCTTGTTGATCCGACCACTGTATCTAACTGGCCTGATGTAGAACATATGTATGCAGAAACCTTGAGGGTAGAGGAGAAAAAAAAAATTAGGGGGGAGAAAAGAAACATCAAAGTTGATCATCATCTGATCTCCTTGGCTGGTTGAACTATGGAAATTTGAAGATTGTCTTCCAGTCTCATACTGCCATTGGTGCTAGCAGTGCCGGCAGCACTAGTGCAGTCCGGCCAACAGCATTTATGAAATTGGGATTATCGGGGCAATTTGTGGAGGGAGGAAAAAGGTGAAGAATTTTTTTCTTAAGGACCCAAACTACAGTATATTTCAAGCTTCGTGTTTTCATGCTCCCCCTTCCCCTGCACCCTTTTTCCTCTTTGTTTTCCTCACTTTAGAGCCTCATTGTTCTCCCATTTTCTAAGTGGGTGCAGAGCTATAGGGGGAAAAGGAGTAGTTTGCTGGTCCTGTTGATCGAGAACTTGGCCCGTTATGTTTTTAAGAGTGAATGAATTGTACTTGGATTTAAATACAGGACCAGACTCTTCTAAGTGAAACACAAGCCTTGGCTACTCAATACAGTTGTTTTGCTTAAATTTGTTAGGTTGTGCTTCTTCCATAGCTCTCCAGTTGGTTAAGAATGGAAGGTGAATGTATTTAATGACTAATATTTAAAGTTGATCAAAGATTTATATGTGATAGCTTCAGTTACCTGATCCACGGAGGAGGAGGCCATTATTAATGGCATTATTCTTTGGATAGGGGTTAACTCGTCCCCCAATTGTGCCACTAAAAGGTGCATACACTGTTGATCCGTCTCTGCATATTACGTCCACTCCCAGGTGCTTTATTTCTCTGAAAATGTGTAAATGTGCAAGTAATGAGACAATGCTGATTTACATATTCATTAGCCTTAAAGCCTGATACTAGATACACCATGTAGATCAGCGGTTCTCAATTTTTTTCCCCCCGCGGACCATGTGAAAATTGCTGAGGGTCTCGGCGGACCCCTTAATGATCTTTCCAAATGTTGTTTCTACCGTGAGCTAACTATTGTAAAGCGCTTTGGATAAAAGCGCTATATTTTTAAAAAACCCTTTATACTAATTAACGTTTTTTTGGTTCTACAAATAAAAGCACACAACTCATATTTTAATATCAGTAATCTTATCTTTCTAATGCGATGGATGTTCCCTCTCTCCACTGCCGCGGCAGCCCCTGAGCTGGGGCTGGGAAGGGGGGGTGTCTCTTCCTCTCTCCCCCACTGCAGCAGCCAAAGCGCTGAGGCTGGGAAGCAGGGTCATCTCTCCCTGGCAGCCACAGTCCTGGAGCTGGAGAAAGTCGCCTCTTTCTCTGGCCGCCACAGCCCTGCATGTCCCAAATTCCCCCCACCAACTCTTCTCACCCCATTGCTCCCTCCCACCTACTCCCTATTCCCCCGCAAGGCCACCACCTCACCTTATATATGCGTCTTCTCCAGGGTTCAGGCACCTAATTAGTGGAACCACGCCTGCGCAGCGCCACTAATTAGGAGGGTGGCCCTTCATTCTCTTGTGTGCGGTGCACCTTAGCGGGAACCCAGGGGCGCACCTTAGCCGGAACTATCCACGGACCACCTGAATGGAGCTTGCGGACCACTGGTGGTCCACGGACCACAGTTTGAGAACCTCTGATGTAGATTTTTAAAGCAACACAGGGGCTACGGCTACCATTGTTAGCTTAGTTGTGTATTTTCTGCAATGACGATAGAAGAGTTTGAGGTTCCCAGTCCAGTTGTAATAATTGCAAATCTCTCTCTGTTCTTAATCAGAGCTCTCCCATTCTCAGTACCCCACCTTCCCCCCATTCTCAGTGTAATTCTATCATATGAGAGATTAATGCACATTGGAAGGACATTGCCACGGTTAATGTACAGCGAATTGCTGAGCAGTGGTGTCCTTCTGACAGACTTCAGAAGCCATGAGTGCTATAAATGATGGCTAAATTCAGAAGTTTTTGTTCTTAGTGAACATTTCATTATTTTAGCAACAATAATGAACAAACAAAACACCCGTTCCACACACAGAAAAAGTGCTCTCAATATACTACCTTGGAGCTCCATAATATCCACAGCCAAATTTGTCACAGCCCCTTACTTTGTTCCTAGGATTCCCAGCACATATCGGTCCCCATGGTCCTGCAGCAACTTGAAAAGAAATGGAATATACAAAAGTGAAGCAAATTTTCTAGTCTTAAACAGGACAGAAATGTTATATATAAATGCTTGCTGTGTAACTAATGGAGTTTAGAGGAGGATGCTAGAATTTCATTAGTGATCTGTGTTATAATGTGTCACTTTCAATACATGTTGCTTGTGTGCGCCCCACAAATTAATGGCTCTGCACATCTTTGCTTTAATGTAAACAGAATGGTGGGTTTTTTTTTTCTTTTCAGTAGAAAACGCTGTTCAGAAGACAAGATTTTGATATTTTTTGTCAAAAGAGTAAATGATCCTACAAAAAAGGTTTTCCTTACAGATCTCTAAAAGGATTCCCGTGCTTCAATTAGATCATAAACTGTTTGGAGCAGGGACTCTCTCTAGCTTATGTTTGTACAGCACCTGGCACAGTGGGGTCCTGCTCAATGACTAGGGAACCCAGCTGCTACTGCAATACAAATAGTGTCTAGCAACTGAGGCTAAGGATCAGAGACTACCCTACACCTTCAATTCAAATTAATTGATGACAGTCAAGGATTTGAAGGCATTATTTCACTCTGAAGTAGAAGAGCCACATACGAGGTCATAGGAGGTTATGGATGTTGGCTTTCCATCAGGCGATCTATTCAGATATCAGCTTAGCTCACGGAGAGAGTCAGAAAACAAAAGTATATTCCTCTGTAGCTGCAAGTTGAGAAGCTGCCTGACGGCTGCATGAGATCACACGTAAATATTTTTTCTGCTTTACCAGCTTTCCTAGCCCTGACTCTCAAGGCAGCGGACCCTCAGAGCTGGGGATTTGCAGCTTGCAAGACTTCCAATAATGCTAGGACAGAGGTGAGCAGAGATGAACTGTAATACTAATAGAGGACTAAATAAGCAGTGTCCAAAAACCTTGCATAATTGCCTCACCAAATACTTCTATTGTAGTTTTCATTAGGAACCAGCAGGCTGCGTTAGTTGTTCAGTTTACCAGCCAATATGTTTGATCACAAGTCATAGGAAGCTATAATAGTGAAAACATTATCTACTCTGGAACTGCAAAGTATTTGACTTTATTGTAACCTCCATTTCTCCGGGGAGTATAATCAGAAGGCCCAGCCCTATTCTGATGCAAATATTGATTTGAACTGCTCCATTTGGGGGTTCTTTAGTTCATTAGGATCACACTTTGTGGGACTGAGCTCTGCTTGGCGTAGCTGAGGAGGTGGGGAGTGTGAAACTGACTTTTTGTGCCCCCTTCTCTCAACAGAGGCTGTTTCAACCCTCCAGTACCTCTTTTATGCTTGGAGGAGTGGTGGGCAGGAAGGGGTGGCATGGAGGTGGCTGTGCCCCCCAGCTATTCCTATCCAAGGGGTTTTCCTAACTGGCTGATTAAACCAGATTTCTGTGTCCTTTGTGCTTCCAGAGCAGTGCAAAGGGTGAAGCATCTAGCCTACTATTTGTGTTGCATTAGCTGCAGGCTAAGTACTTTACAGTTAGGTAAGAAGGCAGGGTCCCTATCCCTGTGAGCTTGCCATTTAACAGACAACATACAAACAAACCAAGTGGCGGGAAAGGAAGCACTGAAAAGCTGTGCAATGGAGCCCATGCTTCGTACTTCCATGTTGTTTGTACAGAACGTGTGGAGAAGGTGTTTTTATATACTCGTATTCAGTAGATTAAACTAGCTACAGGGTGAAGGGAACATTGGTCTCTGTTAAGAAAGTGTTTGGGTTTGTTTGAAGGGGGTGCGTGGCATGTGGAAAGACAAAAAAGCAAAGTGTCAGGGCGTACCAACTCACAAAATGTAATCAGTGTAATTAAATTAGTATAATCCCTCTAGTACGGATGTAATTCTATTGGACTATAAAGGTGCTTATAGGCATTCCTGTAGAGGAAGGGGAATAAGCTATACTTGTTTAGGGCACCTTTATACTGATATAACTGCATTCACACTAGAGGTTGTGACTATTTCAGTGTAAAAAACACATACTCCTAACTGGCATAGTTATACCAGTACCAAAACTATGTGCATACCAATATCGCCATATTTGGGGTCGGGAAGGAATTTTCCTCCAGGGTAGATTGGCAAAGGCCCTGGAGGTTTTTCGCCTTCCTCCGCAGCATGGGGCAGGGGTCGCTTGCTGGAGGATTCTGTGCGACTTGAAGTCTTTAAATCATGATTTAGGGACTTCAACAGCTGAGTCAAGGGAGAGAATTATTCCAGGAGTGGGTGGGTCAGCTTTTGTGGCCTGCATCATGCGGGAGGTCAGACTAGATGATCATAATGGTCCCTTCTGACCTTAAAGTCTATGAGTCTATGAGTTAGAGAGAGTCCAGATTATTTATTGCCCTGAACACAAGAACAAGGAGCGTAATTGATTCTCTCTCTTTCAAGAATATCCATAATCAATCATTATAACCTTTGTTGCTGGCATATTCCCTGCCATCGACTTGGAGAGGATTTCTGTTGATAACCTGATCGCTCAGGCCATACAAATGGAAATACTTAGGTTACGAGTCTTGCAAAGGCTTTTGTCAATGACCAGGGAGATGCCAACAGTCATGTATGCCAGTCTAGCTGAATTGCCTTCTTAGTTGCTGAACCATGGTCAGACTGTCCAGACTTCTTAGCAGGCTGCTTCAGGGTAGCTGCCACTGTATACTATTTATGCATCATGGGAATGGTGTTCAGACAAAAGAACAGAATGGGTGAAATGAAGAAGTGGGTGAATGTGTAGAAATAAATATCATTATGGAGTCTCTTTGCTGTATTAGGAAAAAATCCTGCCTTTAGAATCATGTGCAGCTCCCACTGAAGTAACTGCTGGGCATATCCAAGGCTGGAGTTTGTCGCTAAGTAACTCTGTGACCACATTACTTGCAATATGGCTTAATCCTTGAAGATTCTTATAAAAGGCTGTCATTGGCCTGAAACATATCATCCCATTACCCTGCTGGGAAAGGGTTAAGTGGGTTCTGCTGACTCCCTTAGGGCAATGGTTTGTTATCCCACCCAGACAGAAGAGATGTGGGCATAGCTCTGGCTAGGGAAAGCAGTCCTGAGGGAGGAATCAGAGAAAGACGGTTTGAGCTGCTCCTTACTGTTCTCTTTTTTTGAGAAAGGCAGACCCCATCAAGGAGCTGAGTTTGGAATCTATATATAGTGTTTGTGCAGGTTGGGAAAGGCACCTACTGACTACGCCAAAGAAGGTCAATACAATTCTGCTGGTGCCTCCGTTATTCGTTCCGTCTTGGTTCAATAAGAATACCAGTTCACAATCTCTCTCCTTAGAAGCTAGATCCTGCTCCTAGCATCAATGTTATCCCTTTTGACCCAAGCGACTAGTCCAAGTTTCGGGGCTTGGGGGATGTTCCAGTTGGAAGTAGAAATTGATAGGATCTGGTATTTTCTTGGATGCAGTTTTGTTTCTTTACAAATAATGTATAAAGTCCTGAATTGAATAGCAGGAAAGAGCAGGAGCACCCTTTTCAGCCAGCTCCCTGACCCAAGAAACCTTTCTCCAATTTTTTACGAGGGTCAGCCACTGCACTTTCAGATACTCCTTTACATAAGAACACTAGAATGGTCATACTGAGTCAGACCAAAGGTCCATCTAGCCCAGTATCCTGTCTTCCAACAGTGGCCAATGCCAGGTGCCCCAGAGGGAATGAACAAAACAGGCAATCATCAAGTGATCCATCCCCTATCACTCACTCCCAGCTGCTAGCAAATAGAGGCTAGGGACACCATCCCTGCCCATCCTTGCTAATAGCCATTGATGGACCTATCCTCCATGAATTTACCTAGTTCTTTTTTGAACCCTATTATAGTCTTGGCCTTCACAGCATCCGCTGGCAAGGAGTTCCATTGTTTGTTTTAAACCTGCTGCCTATTAATTTCATTTGGTGTCCCCTATTTCTTTAGGCACACGCGCTCTCTTTCATATTCCCAGTTTTGACCCAAGTCAAAGACCCAAGATGAGTTCACCTAGTAATCATATAGTTCATGTGTGGAAAAGAATAACATGCCTTTATCTACAGACAGGAGAATATAGTTCTATGGTTTCACACTTCAGTAGTATTTTTAAATCCTCCACACTTATTTGAAAATTCCAGTTGAACTCCCAAGAGCATTTTTTAGTTCCTGATACAGTGATTGTATAGAGAGATACTGTAGATATAACGGTTGTGGGATTATATAGGTATATAAGTGATTAAATTAGCTTGGTTAAAGAAAATGTATGCCTTGCAGTTAGCAGTCAAGCGAAGACTTGGAAAAATGGTGTGCCTGATTGGAAATACTGGGCTTGGAATGTGACTTCATTGGAAAAATTGGACCTAAAAGGTTACATAGCAGGAAAAGTCCTTGGAAAAGGCCTCAATTATCCCAGATGGTTCTAACAATAAATGTAATGAACCAGTAAAGACTCCAAACAGGCAAACACCTGGTTATTAGCTAGGATAGTGAGAGTCAATATGACATCACTTGTTTGATGCACAGTACAAAAGAATCAGACTTGCTAAGGGTATTTATCAGATCCTATCCAAACACGCTGAAGCAAGCCAGGATGCAAGGGGTTATCCCAAGACTGATCCTCTCATGAGTATGCTGATCAAATGCTTATGAATGTGTATTATTTTACGGATGTAACTGCTTATTGCTTAAGCTTTTAGACATGTTTGGAGCAATTGCACAAAAACAATTTGGCCTTTAGATTTATCAAAGGAATTTATGGTTAAATGGGTGTTGTGGTGGTATCCTGCATAAGCAATTACTGTATATCCAACGGCTATACAGAAGTGGATACACGCACTGAATCACTAGTGAAGAAGGGATGTGAGAAATATGTCTGAGCTACTAGTGGTTCCCTAAAGGCGTTCACAATGACTATAGAGTAAATGTTGGGGTAAAAAGTGTGTATTTCACTCAAATCTGTTTCCTTCTATAGGACTTGATCACTTGGAGGAAAGGCCCTTTATACAGTAGTATCTGAAAAATGCATAAATGTAATAACATCCAACAGACTTACATTGAATGACAGCAATTCACTTAAAAACCGAGAACGTTTCCTCTTCCATGGTTCTGGTTCTTTTATTACAGCATCGCAGACAGAGAAACAGTCTAAATGGTCTAAACCTTTTGATCCTTGCCATTATTTAAAACCATTTAGAGGCTTTTGGGAGAAACCCCAAATTGCTGATGGAGTTAATATACTGTTACCTGTCTATAATCTCTCTTATGCAATAGACATAGATTAATACTTTATTTTACTGTAATCTTTATCAGTAACTTTTATGGATTTTGCTGTTAAAGTATTTATACAAAATTAAGATTTTGATTATCGAAAGCACAAGTGGCAGTTAAGCCCAGACCTGCCCCTACTTCCTTAAGAGTGTTTTTCCAGCAAAAAATGCTAGTTTAAAATCAGCAACGTTAGAAAATTATTTTGACTTACCAGATGAAATCAAGGTAGCAACAATGATTGCTTTGACTGTGAGCATCTTCGCCTGCATCACCAGAGTTGTGGTTTCAGGTGAAGGGTCCAAAATACTTTGCTTTCTATTTATGCATTCCAAAAGAGGTTGTGTCTAAGTTCCCAGCCAATCAGACATTATCAGGGAAATTTAAGAGGAGTCAGTTACCTTGGTTGAGAACTTAATTTTAAAGCCAAATGCCAACCGGAACAGAGCCCTCTCTCGGGGATGTCCCAGAGGGGCAGATAATAAACAGTGTGGAAATGCCAAACCCTATGGCAAAAGTAATTATGTGGGTTAGGAGAATGCAATGCAATTAACTTGTGCGGGATGTTTTTAATAACTGAACAAGGGGTTTAAAAATAAAAAAGGGGAGAATTCAAGGACAAATTGCAGATATTTTTCTCTGCACTCCTCACTAGTCTGTAGCTAAATTCCTGATTTCAGAAAGATAATTGGATGGAAGGTGGGAAGAGAGTCCCAAGCAATCTGTAAAGCTACTTGGGCAGGCCTGCAGAGACATACACAGCTCACTTTTGGGAAGGAAATCAGCTAGTTGGACAATTCTGTACTTCACAAGGTGACCACTGAGTAATCAACCTTATTTTGGAAGTTTTGGGCAAATAGAACCTTATTAGAGTCTTCCAGAAAATGTTCTTCCTTGTCTCACCAGAAAATGGGACACCTCCTACTCAGTTGCGTAAGTCTATTTTATTATACATCCTAGCTATGATACACCTTCAGAATTAACATCAGGAAAAGCCACAGGGTACAGTCTGGACCATGGCTGAATGTAAAAACAGAAAACCCTCAAATAATGTGATTAAACCAAATTACAGGAAATTCAAATGGAGAATGCTGAAGCATGAATAAAGCAAACTTTAGTTATTTTGGGGGAAGAGAGGGAATATGACCTATTGTTGATAGCTGGGGACTGAGAGTTAAGTTTATATTCTTGGCTCTTTCTCTGCCAGGTGTATGTTTTTAGGGGGTCATTATTTCCCAGGCTGCTTACTTTAAAAACAAATGAAAAAATATATTACATATAATTTTATTATGGGACTTTTACACCTGGTGGATGTGCTCTCAGCCCTCTTCCTTTCATGCCCCTTCTCCTTTTACTTTTAAGTAGAATACTTACTTTAGAAGAGAAGATTTTGATATTATCTGATATAGGAATAATTGATCCAACCAACAAGTTTGTCTTGCAGAACTTTGAAAGTTCCCATGCTTGACTTAGATTGTAAAATCTTTGGAGCAGGGAATCTCTGTCTGTTGTTTGTACAGCCCATGGCACAATGGGGCCCTGGCCCATGACTGGGACTCCTAGGTGCTACTGTAATATAAATAATGAATAACTGGGGATTTGCAGTTTGCAAGTGTTCCATTATTGCTAGGAAAGAAGCGAGCAGCTCCAAGCCCCTACTTCTATACAGCCCTCATCTAAAGCCCCTGAAGCCTGTTCTTGGACTTCAGTGCACTCCAGATCAGGTTACGGACCCTTGACTTCAGAAAAATAGACTTTGACTCCCTCAGGGAACTGATGGGCCGGATCCCCTGGGAGGCTAATATGAGGGGGAAAGGAGTCCAGGAGAGCTGACTGTATTTTAAAGAAGCCTTGTTGAGGGCGCAGGAAGAAACCATCCCCATGTGCAGAAAGAATAGCAAATATGGCAGGCGACCAGCTTGGCTTAACAATGAAATCTTCGGTGAGCTTAAACACAAAAAGGAAGCTTACAAGAAGTGGAAACATGGACAGATGACTAGGAAGGAGTATAAAAATATTGCTTGAGCATGCAGGGGTGTAATCAGAAAGGACAAAGCACAATTGGAGTTTCAGCTAGCTAGGGATGCGAAGGGTAACAAGAAGGGTTTCTATGGGTATGTTAGCAACAGGAAGAAGGTCATGGAAAGTGTGGGACCCTTACTGAATGGGGGAGGCAACCTAGTGACAGGTGATGTGGAAAAAGCTGAAGTACTCATTGCTTTTTTTGCCTTGGTCTTCGCGGACAAGGTCAGCTCCCAGACTGCTGCACTGGGCAGCACAGTATGGGGAGGAGGTGAGCAACCCTCAGTGGTGAAAGAACAGGTTAAGGACTATTTAAAAAAGCTGGACATGCACAAGTCTACGAGGCCAGATGCAATGCATCCGAGGATGCAGGCTGATGTGATTGCAGAGCCATTGGCCATTATCTTTGAAAACTCATGGCAATCAGGGGAAGTCCCAGATGATTGGAAAAAGGTAATTATAATGCCCATCTTTAAAAAAGGGAAGAAGGAGAATTCGGGGAACTACAGACCAGTCAGCCTCACCCCAGTCCCCAGAAAAATCATGGAGCAGGACCTCAAGGAATCCATTTTGAAGCACTTGGAGGAGAGCAAGATGATCAGGAACAGTCAACATGGATTCACCAAGGGCAAGTCATGTCTGACCAACCTGATTGCCTTCTATGATGAGATAACTGGCTTTGTGGATATGGGGAAAGCGGTGGATGTAATATACCTTGACTTTAGCAAAGCTTTTGATACAGTCTCCCACAGTATTCTTGCCAGCAAGTTAAAGAAGTATGGCTTGGATGAATGGACTATAAGATGGATAGAAAGCTGGCTAGATCGTTGGGCTCAATGGGTAGTGATCAATGGTTCAATGTCTAGTTGGCTGCCGGTATCAAGCGGAGTGCCCCACGGGTTGGTCCTGGGGCCAGTTTTGTTCAACATCTTCATTAATGATCTGGATGATGAGAACTGGGCTTATTTAGTCTGCAGAAGAGAAAAGTGAGGGGGGATTTGATAGCAGCCTTCAACTACCTGAATGGGGGGTTCCAAAGAGGATGGAGCTAGGCTGTTCTCAGTGGTGGCAGATGACAGAACAAGGAGCAATGGAAATTGAAACATATATATATATATCTATATCAGATCTGATTAACTTTTGAGAGTTTTTCAATTACTGAAGCTGGATTGAACTCTCAAATATTGGGAGGTGTGCATGCTCCCAGGTGGAGCTCTTAATTACAGGACAGCATTAGTGTGACATGTAAATTCTGCAGAGGAGAGGCCTGGGGCAGGGAGCCAGTATTTTGTTTACAGACAGAGGCAGGGTAATTAAGATAAGAAAGGGCTGGTGATTAAATTAAGGATCTGGAAGTTTAGCCAGTAAAAGAGGAACCCCTCTATGGAGATGGAGGGAGAGGAGAAGGGGAAGAGGGAGGAGGGGTTGTTTTTGAGAGAACAGAGGGAATTCACAAAAATACAGCAAAGCACTGAGCCTAGGTTACATTTAGAAAAGGGGGAGATTGGGGGGTGTAGGTGAAAAGAGAGGGTCAATCCTAGGGAAGGGCTAGCAGTGTATAGAGAAGTTCCCACTCTACCTGTGGTACTTATGTGGCCTCATCACCCTAGTATCTGAGACTGTGCCTCATAATTTCTAACCTATTTCTTCTCCCAGCCCCTCGGGGAGGTAGAGCAATGCTGTTATCCCCATTGTACAGATGCAGCACTGAGGCACACACAGACTAAAGGCCAGATTTTCAAAGATATTTAGACACCTAGTGAGATTTTCAAATGCACTTAGAGGGTTTGGTGCTTTGTAAACCCCACTAGATATCTAGCTGCATCTTTGGGTGCCTAAAAACCCTTGAAATTCTGTCCTTAAAGCACTGGCCCGGGGCCAGACAGGAAGTCCATGGTGGGAGTAGAACCCAGGTCTCTCAGGGCTAGCTCCCTATCCAGCAGACCAGCCTCTCTCTCTGTTGCATACTTCAAAAAAAGAGGACTCTGATAGATGGTAGCAAAACCAAGGCGGCCAGTTCTCTGAGACTCCAGCAAAGGGTTCCAGGAAGGATGTCATGGTTGACAGTATGAAAAGCAGCGCAGAGGTTAGGAAGGATGGAGAATGAGAGTCAGATGAGAGGAGCTCACTTAACTCCCAAGGGGTGGCAGGTTCTGCCTGATGCTGGGTTGTAGAGCAATGGCTGCTGGGCAATTTTACATTTTAACTGAAAACCATTTTGTTCAGTCATTTTTTGTTCTGAGTTGGAGAAAAGGAAGGAATGAGAAAGTGTCAGATGTGTTTATGCCTCAAATTCTTAGGGTTTCAGCTGTATCCAGGCCTATTCCAGAACAAAGAACAGAAACTGCATCCACAGAGTCCAGAAAGTCGATGATTATTGTCATGATTTGCATTATTCACTGAGCACCAGCTGTGTGCTCAGCACTGTTCAGAATATGCCAGAAAATCCAGTCCCTGAGCCAATGTATGTAAGACGTCGAGGAGTCGGTGGCACCTTAAAGACTAACAGATTTATTTGGGCATAAGCTTTCGTGGGTAAAAAAAAACCCTTCTTCAGATGCAAGGAGTGAAAATAACAGGCAGAGGCATAAATATTTATTGGCACATGAAGAGAAGGGAGTTACCTAACAAGTGAAGAACTAATGTTGAAGGCCAATTTAGTTAGGGTGGATGTAGTCCACTCCCCATAATTGATGAGGGGGTGTCAATACCAAGTGAGGGAAAATTGCTTTTGTGGTGAGCCAGCCACTCCCAGTCCCTATTCAAGCCCAAATTGATGTTGTTAAGTTTGCAAATGAATTATAGCTCAGCAGTTTCTCTTTGAAGTCTGCTTTTGAAGGTTTTTTTTTTGAAGTATGGCTACTTTTAAATCTGTTATTGAATGTCCAGGGAGCTTGAAGTGTTCTCCTACTGGCTTTTGTATGTTACTATTCCTGATGTCTGATTTGTGTCCATTTATCTTTTTACATAGAGACTGTCCAGTTTGGCCAACGTACATGGCAGAGGGGCATTGCAGGCACATGATGGCATATATCACATTAGTAGATGTGCAATGAATGAGCCTCTGATGGTGTGGCTGGTGTGGTTGGGTCCTATGATGGTGTCGCTAGAGTAGATATGGGGATAGAGAAGGCAACAAGGTTTGTTACAGGGATTGGTTCCTGGGTTAGTGTTAGCAGTTGCTGGTGAGCATTTGCTTCAGGTTGGGGGGCTGTCTGTAAGCAAGGATTGGCCTGTC